AAAAGGTGCGTAAAAAATCGTAAACGGTACACACACGCGAACTAGGCGAACGCATCACTAAATCGACGCTTAGGCTTGGTTCGCGCGGCGAGCAGTGGCGAGCAGCGGCAGCGCAGCCCCAGCTGTCGATGCAGGGCTTCTCATTTTACGATTGCCATTTTCAAAGAATCCGCTTGTCGATTTTTGGGGCGTGTGCGCGTGTGCCGAGCAGTGATAATAAACCGTTTTGATGAGTTTTCGAGGGATAAATCCCGGGCCAGCCTGTGATGTTTCAGTGCATTCGTGCACGAGATCTATAGAGATCTCTCGCCGCCTGTAGATAGAATATTATTGATTTAAATAGCGCGTGTGGCGCTCGTCCATTTTCTTCGACAATGGGCACGCGATGGTTTCCCTCTCGAGCGATGCTTCATTTCAATTTTTTTCGAATTCCTCCCTACTCGCCCTCTCGCTTAATAGACCCGTCTGAGAAGAAGATCAATTGACGCTTCTCAGCGATGGACAACGAAATGCATGCTTCGCTTATTAGCAAAACTCATTTTGATTCGTTTCGCTCGGCTGGCAATGCGATAAATGATCAATTTATCAGCATAATCGTTTGGCATGTTTGCCCGCGACGTGTGCCTATGTACAAATATATTTTTCTCCCACGTGTTCCGAGTCTCTCTCGGTCAGGTTCACGGTTCGTATGGCTCTCTCTCTCTCTCTCTCTCTCTCTCTCTCTCTCTCTCTCTCTCTCTCTCTCTCTCTCTCTCTCTCTCTCTCTCTCTCTTTCTCCCTTTCTCTTGAGTGAGGAATCCCGCGATCGCGTGATCGGCTGCAACGCTCAAGCCCCCTGAGAGCCCAGGGAAATTTACTGCATGCGATCGGACTAACATCTCTCGTGTGCCGCCGCCGTCGCCGCGTTTAGTTTCTGCGCCTTTCCTTTCCTCTCTCTCTCTCTCGCTCTCTCTCATTTTTTTCCAACCTATCCACGTGACCTATAGGTTTCCGAGCTTCTTTCTTTTGTTCTTCAACGGATATCGGTAATTAACTCGAGTGATCACAATGCGGCAGCCAAAAGTGCAGAAATAAAGGCCGCCGATAAAGGGAGGCCCAGACGAAAGTGGACGAAACAGTCACGTGCGGTATGCCACCCAAGTACGAGCGCACGCTACGAGGACAGAGACATAACTCATTATAGCACTCGTGCCGCGAGCGCGATCGCTCAGATCGACAAGCGCGAAGAGAAGGCGCGGAGAGAGCGAGAGTGCAAAGAGGGAGAATGACGGGCAGGCCGTGTCAAGGGTCAGTGTGTATCGTGATCGGCGGCGGCGGCGGCGGCGGCGGCGGCGGCGGCGGCGGCGCACACATGCACCGAGTCTCCTCGGAGAAAAGAAGCGTTATGCGAGGAGAGGAGAGCGTGAACGTCATTCACGATCAAGGGGCATCGGATGTCGGCCAGTCGCAGGGGGAGAAACGGCGAATAAATAAAAACACGTTGGTTCGCGCGCTCGCGCAAATGATCGTTATCCGACGTCTCCCGGGCTGGAATATTGAATTTCGCGCTTTTTATGCAGGCGCAACAGAGCCTCGCCTTGTCGACAGGAAGGTGACGAAACTGACGGGTTTTGCGAGTCGGCGCGCCGGGCGCACGTTATTTGGCAAATGGGAAGCGAGCGCGACGCGGAGACTGCTGCGACGCGCCGAGCGAACGGCGAGCCGATGTCTTCTCGGAATGGGAATGACCATCTGAAAGAGAGCGTGATGCGCGACCATTGCGAAACTCGTCGGCAGGCAATTAAGTGGCCAGATTTAATCGAGACGCGAGAGCGCGTACATGTCGAGCGGTCGAGCGTCAGCAATCGGCACCGTCGTCCAGAGCTGTCCAATATCGCCAGTCCAACTATTAAACGCGATGATACATATCCCGTCGATAGGTGGAGAATTGCATTTCACAATAGGCAGAAGCAATTGCATCAATAATGCATGCGTCTATAGCAACTGCGCGATGATTGATTTTTTTTCTGCTATTCGCTAAAAGGCCTCGTGAATCAGGCAAACGGCGTTATTGCTAGTTTTCTTTTCGCGCTCCAAACAATGAGTAATTTCAGTGATAAGAGACTTGTCGATACGATTGTCAGAAGCCAATTAATCAACGGGGGGGGGGGGGGCGCCTTTCCGCGAAATCGTCAGATGTTGGAATTATCAATGAATGCGGCGGAAGAGTCGTCGCAACAAAAGCAGTGTAAGACGAAGAAAGAGATGTGCAATATCGGCTCGCGTATTAGACACACACACGCACACAGCGAGAGCAAACAGTCGATATTAATGAGATTTCAAGCGCTTCGGCGGCGGCCAGTTATCGCTGCCAGCTGCCCGTCAACATGACAGCGATACAAATTTATTATCCATTAACACGTCAATTAACGTTGAATGTGTCTCTCTCTCCCTTTCGTTCGTTCGCTCCGGATAATCAATCGAACGCGCCGACTCTCCGAAAAATCTCGCCAAAGATTAGACGAGTCATTGAACGCGAGTTGTGCATACACGTTGCTTTGATTAATCGTCATCTCGCTCTCTCGCGCGCTCGCTGTCTCAGCGCTAAACAAGTGCAGAAAAATGTTGGATCGCTTGCGCAAGCTGCCTTATCGCGTCGAACGGGCCGCGCGTAAAGGAAGAAGGCATTGACACTCGTTACGGGAAGAATAAAAGCGCTGCATTACGCAAATCCGCGCGCAAGTTCGTCGAACTGGCGAGAGCGAAAGAAACCGATAAGTTAATAATAGCGAGCCGCGCGCTTCTCCCTCGCTCCGATGCGCGCCCGGCGAAAGAATGACTCCCCGACGCGAGGCCGCCTTCGAGCTTGCAAATGTAGGCGCAATAAAACAGGAGCGAGCACACGAGCGACGAATTGAGATGGCAGGCCTATTGAATGTTTGAGAGCTAGCTCGCGCGATTTTATATTTCAATGATGGTCGCGCCAGCAGCGAGCGCGTCGCGTCGTTACGAGCGCGACATGAAACTTTTTTTTTATACGCGCGGCGGAAAGCGATGGCAATCGATGTGGTTATATGGGAGGCGCTCGCAAACTTTCCCGCTCCGAGGAAATGGGCTTTTTTATAGTACTTAAAAAGCCCGAATGTCTTGTAGCTTATCTGCCTCGTGCGTTTATTGCAGCGCCGACTAATCTGTTTAATGCCGATCATCGATTTCTTCGCGCGCCGCCGCCGCGAGCAACTTGCTATTTATTCCGATGCTTGTCGCGAGATAATAGTCGGCGCACGGCGTCGCTGGCTATTAATTTATTCGGAGCACGTGTCGCGCGGGAGCGAGCAATCGAAGCCGAACAACAAGCCTCGCGCGCTAAATACACGTTACACATCCTCGGCTATCCTGCAGCCGTCCACTCGCCAAACGTTCGAGAAAATCGCGGAGTCCGTCGAACGTAGTCCGTCGAGCGCAGCTGCGTGGACAAGCATAAGAAGGTCGTCCGATGGCAAATAACGACGAGGTGGCAGCAGAAGGAAAACAATTGAGAGAGACGCGCGCTTAATGAAAAGGAGCGGCAACACGGGGTAGATTGGTATCGCGCGGCATTAGCGTTGAAGCGGCGACGATGCCGGCGGCGCGGGCGCAGGTGCCTTCGCCAGTCCGCCGGGAAAAGTCTCTCTCTCTCTCTCTCTCTCTCTCTCTCTCTCTCTCTCTCTCTCTCTCTCCTCTCTCTCTCTCTCTCTCTCTCTTCTCTCTCTCTCTCTCTCTCTCTCTCTCTCTCTCTCTCTCTCTCTCTCTCTCTTGCGGCAGCTCGTTTCAAAATACAAATAATGCTCTCGCGCGATAATTGAGAATTGACGAGAGGATAGCATGCGTCGCGAGTTTGCCAGCCTCTCGTCGACTCCATTTTCATATGCAGAGTCGAGACGCTGAAAGGAACGCATGGTTGGCATCGATCATTCATTCTTACCTACGTTCTCCGTTTGATCTTTATGACAAAACGAATGGTTTATTCCTTCTGAAGCACGGAGAATAATTTGACAAGACGATTATCCCGTGGAAAATGTGTTGTGAAGATATATCGCGGAATGAATATTCAATGAATGGAGCTTGCGCGGACGGACGGTTTGTTGTCTATTCAACGAGCATCAATTATTTGGCGTGCGTTAGAACAGTATTAATTATTGGATTGATACAAGTGGTAGGTATTTTCGCTAGGCGTGAGCCTTAATTAAAGCACGAAAGCGAAAAAAATGTTAATGATTCGGCGCTCTAATTTGTGTGCTGTGGTGTAGAGGCCCACTGATTGCTATTGATCAGAGCGTAAATGTGTGTGTTCAAGAGGGAGCAGCAACTCTTTGATAATGTTGACACGACAGAAAAGAGAACGAATATAGACGGGTCTCGGGCCTTAATGAATCTTTATGGACTGGTGTCGTGAACTTGTATTCCCCCGGCTGACTGACTGAGAGAGTCCATCTCCGTAACACCACATTGGCGCTCTTCCATTTCGATCAACGCTCTTTTCCTTTCTAATTTCAGATCTTGTGGGGCTGGCCATTTCTCTCGAGCGTTAGCACGTGCATACGTAGAATGAGGCGCAATCGACTACGATCTCGTTAACGCTGCTTATCTCCCTTTCGCTGTTTTCGTGCGCGCAAGCAAACTTTTATATTCAACGAAAATGTCAATTTCCATCGAGTCACGCGAGAGACGCCGACGAGCGTTCACCTCTCCGTGTTAAGCTTTAACGAGTGCTTTGTAGGAAACACGAACGAAAGCCCAATTCTTGCAATAAGGTACAGTCGAGACATTTGGAGGTTAGATTGTCACCGTTGTCATCGATTCGTGCAAGGCCAATCATCGGATCACCCGAGGGCATCGTCCCGAGGCCAGCTGATAATGAATGATAATCGCGAGCACGAGTGCGTAAAAGATGGCCTGTCTCGTCGTCGCGAATCAAAAAGATATTCCCACAATCACCAGACGAACGTTCCGATGGTTTTATTTGCGACGAGGCAACTTACCAGGATCAGAGGAATCCAGACTCGGAGGAGGTTGTTGGCTGAGGGGTCCGGGCGTGCCACCGCTTCCGGGGCTGCGCGCGTCGTCGTTGCCACCTGGTCCGGGATACGACAGCGACGACGAAGGTGGCCTCTGCAATACAAGCGCATTCGTTTAATACCACGACTCAAATGACGATCACTGATTATCCAGCACGACTAGGGATCGGAATCGAGGAGCGGGCAGAATAGGAACAACTCGATAGTTGCAAACCTTAGAAATAGGAGAGCGAGAGAGAGAGAGAGAGAGAGAGAGAGAGAGGGAGCGAGAGAGAGAGAGAGAGAGAGAGAGGGAGCGAGAGGACGCCTGTCGGAGTGGTAGGCGGATGTGCGTGAGCGCGGCAGCACGAAGCGCAGCTGCGTGGCCGATAAGCCGAAGGTGCGAGCAAGTGCGAGAATGACCTCTGAACCGTCGATAGCTCGCGCTTGCATGTGCGCTGGCGAGCGTCAGCAGCGACGGGCGGACAGGCAGACTGCACGCGCGCGCCAGCAACAATGACTGACAGCAACTCCCACACGCTGTCATGAGAACTTGTCAGCCGGGGCAATTGTTTCGTCTCATTCTCGCCTATCCACTTGAAATCGTTAGGCGATTGAGATTAGAGATTCGTTAAGGGGCTGTCTGGTGTCGCGCGACGTCTCGTCCGTTTGCCGTCCTGTCGCTCTTTAGCGAGCGACGCGTCGAGGCGTCGCGCGGCGCCGATTTGAATGCGAAAAGCCGACAAATTGGCGAATTCCGGCAATTAGACCGGCACGATCCTGCCGCGCTGCGCTTGCGACAGGCGACGCAGGCGGCAAAAACCGAGAGGTTCTTGCGCCTGCCAGTGCGCGGCTTCTGGGAGCGCTTCGGAGTTCTCTAACGGCGCCGGCGACGGCCATCAATAATGCATCGCGCGCACGCGCGCATTTTCTCCAGAGAGCCGCGCCAGTTTTGGGTGCGTGTGCCGCGCTGCTGGCGTCACTTCCTACTGCGCAACCGCGCGGCTCTCTCCGCGTTTTTTTTTCGCCGCGCGCTGGAATCCGACGTGCGGAGTCGCAGTGTGGCGAGCGAGGGTGACGAAAGCCTCATGACTGGACGAATTATCATAATGCCAAATTGGCGGATGTCTGGCTCGCTCCTTAAACAAATCACTGCCCGCATCTCGTGTTTCGCTCGCTCGCTCGCTCTCCCTCCGCGCAAGGCATTCAATTCGCAGTCGACGCTCGACACGACGCCTTTCTCTCTCTCGTGCGCGCGCGCGCGCCTCTATCTCCGCCGAGTATAACGAACTCCACGGCTACCGCGCGCTAATTAAAAACGAGGGGTCTACGCTCGATAAGCGCTTCGCTTTCGGCCGCGAAGCATATCGCTGCGCGGGACCGAAGGACAAGTGACGCTGTCGAGGCCGATCAATAATCAATTTGGCGAGCAGCGGCCAGGCCCGAGATGCGAGAGCGAGAGGCCGAACGGCGCGCGGAGAACTTGGACGAACGCAAGTGGCGAGCGAGCGACGGGGCACCGATCGAACGATACGCGCGTCGCGACGATCTCGTTCTCCGCGAGGAGTTAATTATTGGAGTCGTGCGCTGGTCCGCTCGTCATGCGATCGAGCGCGCCGATCGAAGCATGCAAATGCCACTCGAGCGCGCCCTCGGAGAACGACGCCGAGAAAGAGAGACAGAGAGAGAGAGAGAGAGAGAGAGAGAGAGAGAGAGAGCGCACGCGCGGCGGCGTGCGCCTCGCATACCAGTGGAAGCACGCATAATGCCATATAATTACGTGATTAGCGGCGGCCGGACATTAACGCCCGTCGCCGAGTGCTTTATGCCTGAGATACACAAATCTCGGCCATTAATTCATCGGCTCGGCCTTGCAAACCCGCCATGTGCAACGCGCACGCGCTTCGCGCGCGGCGGAGAAGCTGCGGACCGCTTCGAGGCAATTACATTGTAAACACCCGAGAGGACCTTCGCCTTTTCCCTGCTCTTGGCACTTCTGCTGCGCTCTTTTTGCTTTTTGTATTTTCCTGCACTCTCGGTAGAGAGTTATCTCGCGAGGGAATGCAAGTAACGAGGACGCCGACGAACAATGCCTCGTGCGCTCGACAGCTTATTTTCGCTATGAACTTTTTGCGTCTCCGCGTCCACCACCCCGAAACGAGTTTTTGATTTAAAATCATTAGTTTCGTCGACGAGTTTGTTGTCTCGTTTTTCATTTTTTAAAAATGTGTTACAGCCGCGAGAGCGAGAGAGAGAGAGAGAGAGAGCGCGCGCGCGCGGCAGGAGCGAAGAGAGGCCTATTTTTAAAGATGAGAATACAGCGTAAATAACGAACGAGAATAGAAGAAAGGCCGGGGAATGGGGAAAGGCACGGCCTTGAATTTCTCGGCTCGGCTAACGCACTACTGCTATACACACTCGCAACTCGCCTTATAAATTCTCGCCGCCGCTACTTTATACTTGACGGATCGTATCTCGCGCGGCGTTATGTCAGACTGCGCTCGCGCGAATTCTTTTTAGGTGATAAATAATCCCGCAACGCCGTGGCCAATTATTACGCGCGCGCGATGACAACGATATCGGGTTTAATTGGTGGCGCACGCTCTACTAATGCAGCCCGCGCCATTCATCATTTTCCGTGTCGTCGTCGTCGTCGTCGTCGGCGGCGGTATAACTTGGAAGAAAAAACAAAATCAAATAAACAGCGGCAACGACGCCGCTTACTTGGCCGGACTGAGCGCCCAAGTGATCGATCCGCCTGTGCTTCCCCAAATTCTCTGTGTAATCTTACATAACTCGGGCGAATCGACGATGCGAAAAGCTAAGTCGACGTGTAGAGAGAGAGAGAGAGAGAGAGAGAGGCTCGGTCAAATCGGAATGTCGAACGCACGAGGAGTGGGATTTAACGACGACTGCCGGCGATAAATAAGAGATCCTCGAAAGGATTCGTCAATACATAAAAGCGAAACGGAGAGGAAGACTCAGGTATACGACTCTTCTCCCTGATGTTTCTATTACTCGTTTGTTTATTGGCCGCGATCGCCGTGTTACATTGTTGCCGTACAAGCAGTTTGCGGCCCGACCAAAAAAGCAGCAGCAGATATCGCGTGCGCGCCGGGTATAAATCAAAAAGTCGAGCCGCGGGTATCGGGCGCGCGAGAATTGCAAACGATCAATTTGGAGAATGCACATTTTCAGGCCGAAAGATTGGAGAGACGCAGCGCGGCCAGCCGCGCGTCGCTGGTTCGGCCGCTCGGGGGCGTTGCGCGCACAAAAGCATACCGAGCCAAGTGATAAATGTCAGGGCAATTACGCATCGACAGCCGAGCCGTCGGAGCCTCGGTGAACTTGGCGATACTCGCGAATTCGTTGCTCTGTCCCCTTTGGCCGCGCGACGCCGAAAAAGCTCGCGCGCAGCCGTTGTTCACGAGCGAGCTCGATTTGTCGGCGGCGGCGGCGCGTCGCGGACGGCCATCGGAAAAGGCACCCTCGACCAAGTCCGACCTTTACGAACAGTGAAAATCGTTGGAATACGCGCGCTGCTCATCTGGCGCTGGAGCCACTCGACCGACTGAAAGCGCCGCACTGTAGGCGCAGGACAGATACGAGGGTCTATTTTCGGAGAGAGCGCGCGCCTGCGTCTGCTGCTCTTCAGGGCACGAGCGATTTCCAGCATTCTCGGGAGAAAGCGTTCTCGCGCGAGCGCGTGAAAGCCAGCGGGGGCTGCCGCGTAAGCGTCACGCACGAAACGATCCGAAATTGACTCTCGAAGGTCGGAGGCTCGCCGCCGCGCTGCCGCAGGATTTTCGAGTGCGAAGGGGAACGACGGTTGCGCCGGGCCGCGCCGGGCCGCGCGCAGCTGATGGATCTAATCGACATTCCGTCCTAATCACCCTTCGAGCTGCACCTCTTTCCCTTGCGATTCCGCGTGCAAGCAATTTCAAACGAAAGCTTGGCCGGCATTCCGAGCGGAGGTGACGCAGGCGTTCACGCGTGGCACGACAGTGGCGTCTGTCGGCACGAGGAAAAACGAGGAGCACCCGCATTAACGTGCCTCGCGCGCGTCCCTATCGCCTGTGTCCACAGGCTTCAATGTCGCGCCAACGGCCAACGCGTCGTCGCGTTTCCCGCTGAACGCGCACTCGCGAAGCAACGCTCGGAAAATTCCGTACGACTTTTACATTCGGCCGACCGCGCGCCGAAGAGCAACGAGATGCTCTCGGCGAGAGTACAGGCTCACCGATATGTCGCAGGTACACTGGTGAGCATCGGGTAAGCTTATGAATAAACGATTATCGCAGGAGCGGGCATCCGATCGGCGCGTGCACGCGGAGAGGGAGAGGGAAGAAGACACCTCTAGCGGTCGCACGTGTGCGCGCGCGATATCGCCGCGTGGCTCCTCGCGCCAGCCAGGCGGGGTTTTGCGCTCGCCGATAAGATTCTCCGCGGTGGCGGCGGCGGTGGCGGCAGCGGCGGCGGCTGTACAGGACTCGATATCTGGCCTGGCACGGTGGCGCGCCAAGCTCCGCTCGGCTAATTGGTTTCCCGTGTTTCACTCGTTCCCTCGGGATAAGGCGCTGCTCTCCCACTCTCTCCGAGTCCATTAGCTGCTCGCGAGGACTGTCTCGTCGTCATATATTCGATGACATCCTTTCTACGCGCGCCCGAAAATGCGCCGAGCCTCGAATAATGAGCTTTTCAAATGCGCGTACGCGCCGCGGCCCATTATACAGAAGCAGACCGAGTGCCGAACGAAAATAACGATTGAGAGCTGCGAGCGGACGAGAGAGAGAGAGAGAGAGAGCATCTTATCGCGAGCTGCAATCGCATTAGCGGACAGTGACGGGCCCGACGCTCGTCTGTGCGCTTTCATTAGCGAAAAAAATAATCGAGGCCTTCGTGGAAGGCTCGCTCGTTATAAAGCCAAAGACGCCTCTCGATGTGCCTCCAACACACGCGCGTTTATTATAAAACGCCGCCAAGTCGTTAAAAACAACAGAGTCGACATGCGCGCGCAGCTGCCTATAGTTAAACGAGCCTAGGACGATCGACGTTGACGCAATCGTTAGCTCTTAAGTATCGGCTTCGAATCGATCATTAAAATTACATTCGCGT